GAAAGAGTAGGACTCAAATTTACATACGTTGTCACAGTTTGATTGTTGCTTTAAAGTATGACCATGGGTCACTTGTTGTCACTGTGCAGCTGTGGCGCCACGCATGAGCACATAAACACAAAAGCCAACCCAAAAAAAAAAAAATTGAGTTTTTGAAAGGTTCGGATTTCCGGGTAGTCGGATTTCTGGCATCCGGATTTTTGACTTTACTGTATATGGAATCAAATATACTGTATATTGGCCTATTGTGTAAATAATCATATTGTATTAAACAGTACTGACATCTTGTGTTAGATTATATTATTAATCAGTATATTATACAATACAGTAGTACCCTGCTTAACGCGGTCAATTGAACCCACAGGGTACCGTGTTAAATGAAAACCTCGTTAAGTGAACAACAGAACATATGGGATTAATTCCAATAGAGACTGGCCGACCCCAAACTCTACTTTTCTGACACAATACCTATGTTTTAGTAAAATAACATATTAATTTTATGATGGTACATGCACACAATTAATACTTAAGAGAAATAGAGAAATACAGTCGCAAGTTAATGTCCATTCAAATAATGGACTCAATTCTTCCCTCTTCTCATACTACACTCGCTGGCTCTTCCTCTGAGAAATTTTGGGGAAACCATAAATTTTAATAAATAATACCTCAACTAAAGTTAGGATAATATAATTGACATTGCTGGATTCCTTGTAAGACCAGGAATATTTTAATATAAATGTCATATATTTTGCACAAAAGATAACATATTTACTCAGAGTAAACATTATATCTAAAATTTATGTCTAATGCAAAATCTATGATGTTTATATTCAAATGATCATCAAATTGTAAGAATTCCAGCAATGTAAATTATATTCTGGCGGGTAATTTGTATGAATTTTATGAGCTAAAACAAATATCTTCAGTTAAAAAAAATATATTCTTCACACACTATCTGTCAATCAAAGTACCCCACCTTGCCTCCCCCTCTTCCAACCTCAGGTGGTGGGTCCGTCCCAACCTCCCCACCCCCACCAATCCTCCTTCAAGAGATGTTGGGTGAAAACTAAATTTTAACCTTTAGTATTAAATAATACCTCTAAAGTTAGATAATATAATTGACATTGCTGGATTCCTTGTAAGACCAGGAATATTTTGAATATAAATGTCATATATTTTGCACAAAAGATAACATATTTACTCAGAGTAAACATTATATCTAAAATTTGTATGTCTAATGCAAAATCTATGTTTATATTCAAACTGATCATCAAATTGTAAAATTCAGCAATGTAAATTATATTCTGACGGGTAATTTGTATGAATTTTATGAGCTGAAACAAATATCTTCATTTAATAAAAAAAATATTCTTCCACGTAACAGATGGTCGATCGGTCCATCCCCCCCCTCACCTCCCACCAACCCTCCTACCAGATGTGTTGGAAAAGCAGAATATTTACCTTTTAGTAATAAATAATACCTCAAACTAAAGTTAGGATAATATAATTGACATTGCTGGATTCCCTTAAGACCAGGAATATTTTGAATACAAATGTCATATATTTTGCCAAAAAATAACATATTTACTCAGAGTAAACATTATATCTAAAATTTGTATGTTTAATGCAAAATCTATGATGTTTATATTCAAAATGATCATCATATTGTAAGAATTCCAGCAATGTAAATTATATTCTGGCCGGGTAATTTGTATGAATTTTATGAGCTAAAACAGGCAGGCAGGCAGGGTGGCGGGTGGGGCGAATCTAAAAATAGCTTCTCGAGCCTGACACTCTGCGCGTATACGTGGAAAAAACCCGTGTTAAGTGAAAGTTCGGCTCTGGCGAGGCACCACGTATACGTGATATCGCGCTAAGCGAAACCGCGTTAAGCGGGGTATTACTGTACTTTTTAATTCTTCTTTTGACATTCTTCCAGATACAGTAATACCCCAATTTACGCGGTTAATTGAACCCGCTGAGTAGTGCGTAAAACGAGAAACGTGTAAATGGAATAACAGAACATATGGGCTTAATTGAAATAAGAGACTGGGCCGACTCCCAAACTCCACTTTTTCCGACACAAAATCGACATAATACCTACGTTGAAGTAAAAATAACATCTTAATTTTATGATGGTATGCACACACAATTAATATTTAAGAGAAATACAGTCGCCAGGTTAATGTCCATTCAAATAATGGACTCAACTCTCCCCCCCCTCTTCCCACGCTCGCTGGCTCCTCCCTCTCTGAGAAATGTTTGGGTGAAAACACTAGATTTTAAGGTATAGTAATAAATAATACCTCAGACTAAAGTTAAGATAATATAAATGACATTTCTGGATTCCTTGCAGGTCAGGGAATATTTTGAATGTAAACTTTATAAATTTTGCACAAAAAATAAAATATTAGCTTATTTTCATGATCTTAAATTACATCTAAAATTTGCATGTCTAATGCAAATGTTAAGATGTTTATATTTAAAATGATCACCATCTTGTAAGGATTTCAGCAATGTAACTTATATATTTTATGAGCTAAAAACATATATATCTTCAGTAAATAAACAAATTATACTTCACCAGCGTAAATGAGTAAATTCACCGCGTAAATCGGGCATCCCGGTTCTGGCAAGGTACCGCATAAATGACCAAACTCGTGAACGAGAACCGCGTAAATCGAGGTTCAACTGTGTACCTGAGCTGGACTATCTCTATAGTATACAGCTGGCTCCTTAACCCTTCTATGTTGTCCCCAGTTTTCTCTACCTAACTTTTAAAGTGCCTAGTGTAGATACTTGTACAGTTATACTGTATTATAATACAGCCTCAAGTACAGTATCTAGAACTCTGTCAATTATCTGAAAAATTTAATGAAGGTTTTTACTATTTCAGAAGATTAGAAAATCCATGGAAATTTCAAGAAAGCAGAAATCTCAGAGGGAAAGGGATTAGTTTGCAGACCCATCTCATGTTTTGTATTTGTCAATTAATAACTATGGTAGTTGTGACCAAACATTTGCCCATAATAACGCAATTGAAAAGTGCCCAACTGATTTTGCAAATTTATAATACTGATGAGAATGGTGTTTTTGAAAGTGTTTGCCTTAGAATATGCTTGGTACAGGGGAGTGGTGAATGTGTCAGAGAATCTAAGGAAAGGCTTACTGTTCTAGCATGTAAAATACTCATAATAAGGAAGAGTGCTAAGCTCTCTGCTCTTAGAGGCCTGAAAATTACTCATCTGCTTTAACTATGTAATGTCTTTCATCAATATTTAAACTGTTGCTAGATTCCATATACAGGTAACCCCTGAGATATGATGGGGTTAGGTTCCTGAAAAACCTGCCGCTAGGTGAAATATTATAGACAGGGAGCATTATAACGTGGGATTCAATGTGATACGTTCCCAGCCAGTCCCCAGACACACATGTATCATCGACAAAAAATTTCCTACAATCCAAAACAATTAAACAACACTCACCACATCATAAAGAACAAGCCTGTTCATTATCACATGTTCCCTTCGAGGCTAAGGTGATTCTTGTGGGTGGAGTGGAGACGTTACGCTGACTCTTACACAGCCTCTGGGGAGTCTCATGTTGCTTAACCCTTTGGATGCGGCATGCGGGTAAACCCGCCCAAAATATTATATTAATTAAATGCGACAAGCGGGGATATCCCACGGCCTTGAAAAAACTTCCCCAAATGAGACGACATGCGGACATATTATGTATTGAGGTATAGGAGTATTTCCTGAATGCAATATAGCTTATTTTTGTACTATTTTGTTTGATATTATCTGAATATGTAATACATATCTAAATTTGCTGTTTAGTAACCAAATTGATTAAATTTATTTGCCATATACCAGACATTGATTTATACCAATTTCCTGCATTTTTGGGTATAAATGTCATTTTTTCTCTAAAATTTGCACACATATGTGAATTTTTGTTCCAGATTTGGAAAATATACTAAAAGTTCTCTAGGAAAAACATATAGAAAATGTGATTATATGAAATTCATTTTTGGCAGGATAATTGACACTTTTCAGGAACCGGCGCGAAATTTAATTACGCACCTAAAGGGTTAACAATGTCAGGCTTTACCTCCTTCACAGTCACAAAAACAGAGCAAAAGCACTTGTCACAAAACAGAGTGAGCGATGATGACAAAAACAATAATAGCGGCCGACACTGCTCACATTTTCAAAACAACAGAGTTAACGCACCTTACAGTCACAAAAACACAGAAAATATCACTTGATCGTCACCATAACACAGTTCAGTCTAAATGTTAGTGCAGTCCTCTCACTATATAAGAAAAACACCGATGATAAGTACAAAGCTGGCTGATAATAGTGGAGCCATGTGATGGTGGGTTTATGATCAACAAAGAACCAAACACACGGCTGTAGTGCGCAGGTTGTGGCAACGTGGAGGTTGGGCTGACAAGTGAAGGTAGAGATGCATCATGCATGGGGTTAAATATTGTTTCCTTGTAAATGACGCAGCTTGGCGTAGAAAAATATAACTTCCTTCATTGCTGGAATCCTTAGAGACAAAGATTAGTTTGAGTATAAACAGCCCATCATAGTTTGCACTAGAAAATAAAATTCCTACCAATGGATATCTCTGTGGTTGTGGGTGGATGATATCATTAAAGCAAGTTGCTTTGATCGTGAGAAGATGTTAATTTATAACCATCTTTAAAGTGATATATTGCATCTCGGGATATTGTATCTCGTGGGTTACCTGTACCATAATCATTTTCATCTTTACATTGTTTCAGAAGTAAATTCTTTCCTTCTTTTAGTTTTCAAGCGTTTATCAGGACGCATTGCTTGTCATAACTTCTCTAACTTCTCCACCAATCTTTATCAGTAACATATTAACAGCTGTGACTTCTTATGACACAGCTATCCACTTTAGTGTTACAATATATTTTGAACAAAGTGGAGTTATTTTAGATACTGTATGTTTAAATTTTGTTTCAGTGATGTGTGTGAAGTTCTTGCATGGGGAAGTGCACAGATTCATTGTCAGTGTTCTGTAAATGAGTCCAGGGTGCGATTGCCAACTTTCAGTCCCAAGCAAGCAGAAGAGCGAGCTGTCACTAATGCTGGTAAATCCTATTTCAACACTGTATAGCTGATTTTAAGGCATTAGAACAGCATTGTCCAGAGGGGGTTATCAGAATTGCAATAGGAGGGATGTGGTCTTGTTGGATGTGTGTAAATTGCTGCATCTGTTTGCCCAGTTGAATTAAGGATTAAAAATCAAGTGCCAACTCCAGCCTTATGGTTGCCCTGAAAGCAAGCCAGCTATTAAGTACACAAGAATGAACCCTACAGTTAGCTTACTACAGTTTCAAACTCAAAACCATAAAGAAAATTTCCGTGCTTTAAATCCTCACATTTTACTTCTGATAGTCTACTGTCAACTTGTGTTGCCTGAACTGTGCTGTGCTCATAGTGGTTCTCTATAGGAATAATTGTCATTTCCACATTTGTTGTTTCACATCATTGTGATATAAGCTTCAGCCATACAGGACATTTTTTTTCTAATGAGTGATGTTTTTTATGGCAGATCTGGTTTTGTTAACCCTGAAAGTATTGATGTTTTCTTTACTTTTGGCCTTAGTGCTTAAGGGCTGATGTGGCACAAGTGTGATGCATTTAGTGATACCATACACCTTAGCTCAACCTTTCAATATGGCTATTGATTATTTTACATGACAGTGAGTCTGTCACCCTTGCATAAGGAAAACAGATAATTTGTTATAGTTATTCGCAGTCTTAGTTTGGAAGGTAAAAAAAGTCTTTCCCATGATATTGCTAAATTATTCAACTTATTCAGCTACTTTCAGTTATCTAGTCTAAGTACTGCACAGTGACATTTCTTTTAGTACCGTATGTCTTTTGGCTATGATATACAGCAAAGTATGTAAATTACACTTCAAGTACAGTGAGGTCTGCTATAACGCGTGTTTTGATAACGCGAATTTGCTCTAACGCGATTTATGAATTAGGAACGGTATTTGTATAACGCGAACGCTTGTTTGCTATAACGCGATTTTTGCTTACTATTTCTCCAATTTTGTGGTACAGTGGGGTATGCTATAACGAATCTAATTGGTTCTAGAACCTTGTTTGTTATAGCATTCTTTTGTTATAGGATTAATCCGTTCCAGGCCCCCAAATACAACCACTTAACACTGAAAAATATAATATAAAATTGTAAAAATTGTAAAAAGTGCATAAATATGCATCTAAACCCCTGAAATAAAGAATATCATTAATATTTGTAATAATAAAACAATAAATTAGAAAAAAAAAAATTAAATTATGTTCGTTGTAGGAGTTTCGTTTGTTATAGCATTCTCAATTTTATAGGTAAAACCGTTCGTTATCGGAATATTCATAGTAGGATCCGTTCGTTATAGCATACCCCACTGTATTAACTGTGAATATAGTAAAGAAGAATATCAACAAGAAGCGTTCTGGTGATAGAATTCCCGGTGATGATTGTAAAAGAAAGGATATAACACTTGAAGAGAAGCTCGATTTTATCAACCTCAAAATCACCCTTCTCCCCCATCAAGTAAAGTGTTACATTTACTGTATGATTTCATTATTAGATATGAATGTAACATTTATTTAGACTGTGCTATCCTTTGTGCTAGGCTAACTACTAAATTTTTTCGATTTCGAGTAATCTGCACCTAACCCTATTTTCTCCATAAGCCCTGTTATTTATATTACGCGATTTTCTATAACACGATATTTTACAAGAACACAATTATCGCGTTATAGCAGAACTACCTGTATGTGCATTAAGCAATACCGTGTCACGTATTTTTGCATTTTTGCTAATTAAGCATCCAATGGGTTATTTAAAAACCCTGATAACTGGCTGAGTACCTCCTGTGCAACAGTTTACATTGATTCTCAGGACTTTGTCCCTGCCAGTAAAATGCAGAAAACTCCTTGGACAAGGCAAGGTCTGATGGGAGGTCTTTTGGGAGTGAGCTTGCAGGTCACTTGCCTTTTCCCTTCAGAGATGAAAATGGATTTTGTGTTTTAATCTTTAATGTATTATTTAAATTTTAAATTCAGTTTAAGGCAGATAGTCTTTGATTACCTCAGGGACCAGCTGCTCCCACCCTGTAGTAACTTTGCCTCAGTGTACCTGATGACAACTGTGTAACCGAAGCTGTGCCCATCACCTGGTCTTTGCTGTATTTTCTGGGCAGTACTTGGGTTTGCAGTGGGAGGGAAAGGGGGGGGGGGGCATGCCATTCTGGTTTCACGCAGCAGTTGCCATCAGTTAATTGCGGAAAACCCTGCGGGCATGGAAAATGAATGTGAACATTGATGATGATTTAAATCAAATGTATTTTAAATCATTGTGAAAGTTACTCATTATAATAGATTTGGTCAGAGAGAAATGCACTACCAAATTTATCTTTTCTCAGATTTTATTATTATCATTATTTTTAATGTTAATACAGGAATATATCAGTTATCACAGAGGATGCGTCCTTAAAAGTCATTGTGAATGATGAATGTGTGAATATTGAGGCAATTTCCCCAATAAGAATTAATGTAAATAGGGGGGATGTGTTCCTAGCTATCAACTTTGACCACATATTTTTCAATACAGTATATACATATAGTGTACATACATATCCTCCCCGACTTACGGCCTACTCGACTTACGACCACCTGGACGTACGACTGCCTCAGTTGTACCAAAATTTTGTCAAATTACGTATTTTCGAGTCCCAACGTCAGTGATTGCGCTGTGTACTGACAAAATTTTTGTTTGTAATTCACTTTAAAATGACTGGCAAGCTTAAAATTGAGAGTTTTGTGGTGCTGAGAAGAAAAAGAGACACCCATTTTAGATTTTCTATGTATTATTTCTGCATTTTCGACTTACGACCAATTCGACTTACGACCTGGATTTGGGTCCCTAACCCCGTCGTAAGTTGGGGATGAGCTGTACTTGTTTGTCTCTTCCAGGGGAAGTTTAGCTTAAATAATACATAGAAAAACTAAAATGGTGTCTCTTTTTCTTCTCAGCACCACAAAACTCTCACTTTTAAGCTTGCCAGCCATTTTAAAGTGAATTACAAAATTTTTTTTGTCTGTGTACTGACGTTGGGACTCGAAAATACGTAATTTGACAAAATTTTGGTACGACTGAGGCAGGTTGTAAGTGCGGGTGGTCGTAAGTCGAGTAGGTCGCAAGTCGGGGAGGAGCTGTACTGTACAAAAATCGGTACAGACTGAAAATTTACACCTGTGATATAAAGCTGACAAGTACTGAGTAAGAAAAAAAAAGAACAGAATCAATTCAACAATGATAGACAAGTGTTGCTATTGAATACCAACTGTCCACTTGTAGTTGACTGTATAGGTCAAGGATCAGACCCACCTCTCTACCCATCAGTGAATATGAAAGACAAATCAAATTTTGTTTTCAGGGATTGCCAATGATAATGTTTATGTTGTTGAAGTACAGGATGTTGGGGATCTGAAGAGTTTAGTAGATTTAAAGGCATATGTTGATCCTTTTGATAGGAATTGGGTGTTGGGGAAAGAAGATCTTGGTGGAATAGATAAAAGAGGGTGGGAGAGAGTACAAAATTCTAGGGGACCCCATGTGGGAGGATTCTAGAGCTGGGGCTAGTTATTATATTCCTGACTTCGAGTTTGGCAACCTGAAAGTAAGTTTGCTATCTACAGCATTCTTTGCCGTGTGTGTGTGTGTGTGTGTGTGTGTGTGCGTGCGTGCGTGCGTGTGCGTGCGTGCGTGTGTCCCGTCACTTTGGTGGAACTGACACTTCACAACTGACACTTCACAAGGGATGAAGTTGAATTGAATTGAATTGAAACAGTTTATTTAGCCAGAAGAACACAGATACAGAGTGGATAATAATAACAATATTAACATGGCTGAGCCAGTTGAGAACCTGAGCTCTCTTTGAGGCACCTGATATATACTATACATATATCTCAAGGAAGTATTATGTAACATTTAGTATCATCTGGAATAGTACAATAGCATGGTGGTAATAAGAACACCTCATAATGTTATCACGGTTATCACTTCAATATTTATTTATTTTATTTTTTTATTATTTTTTATTTATTTATTTTTTTATTTATGTATATTATAAGTATACTATACATAAATTACAGTGGAATTGAAAAACATAAGTTTAATGGGGGAGCAGTACAACATGGGTTGTACAGGCTTAAGGGTGAACAAGAGGACAGAGCTGTCAGGATTATGACTAGTTGGCCAATATGTTTATTGCAATGGTAATTACTTATCTATTTATTGTACATTATAATTTCCGATAAAACGGTTTTGATGGAACAATAAAAGCAGGTACTGTAAATATAGTAGGTGTTACAAGAAATATTAATACTTAGACAATAGATATTTTTTAAGAGATGATTTAAAGGAAGGGAGCGTCGTCTTTGCTCGGATGGGTGGGGGTAAGTTGTTCCACACTTTCACACGATGAATGGAAGATGTGCTTCACCAACACCTTCTGAGCCCAAGAAAAGTTCAAACACCCCTCAATTTTCTCTGCACCTACCCAGAAAAGAGGTGGTGGACTTTGGTTTTCATGAAATGACCAGTCTTCTTGGGAAATGTCTTAATATGACAAAAAACAACAATGGAAAAATTGCAGTGTCATTGAGAACAGAATTTTGCACTTTAAAACCCACTGGAGTTTGTTTGACTATTACTGTGATTCGGTCAGTAGAAATATGATCGTTTACTTTACTGCTTTAGCCAGATTAAATTAACTTTTGCTACATTGTGTGATGTCAGTCTGTGTCACATATATCAAACACCTTTGTAGAATCATCATATTTTGTGCATTCTATTCCTCCTCAATTGTTTCCACTATAATGATAGTAATAAAGTACAGGTATACAGAGTTTAATTGAGAATTGTAGAGATGTGACTTAGAATGAAGTTTGTCCTTTATCTATGATAACAAAGTTTAAGCCAAATCTTTTTCATGTTAACAGATACATCATTTGCCCCGTGTAGAGGGGAACGAGGTCATGTTGTTCTATCAACAAAACCAAAGATCCTCTTCTGTGACCTCCAACTCCTGCCTGGTGAAAGTCGATCATGTAAGGGTATCATGTTTTGCAGTTAGATCAAAAGGGTGCTTATACTTCTTAAACTAAGTATCAGTTAACTTTTTTTATTGTCAAAGAATATTGCTTTAAATGTGTAGATGCAAATGAATTTATATATATTTTAGTATTAGTTATTTATAAAAAAATATATACTTTAAGGAGTTTAAGAAATAAGGTACAGTATTATTTATCCCCAACACTACTTCCCCCTTCTCTCTTTATTTCTTCATAAAACCCAGATAGTGTTCTATGATGTATGCTTGTATTTAACAATGATAATTGGAGCTCTGGATACTGATAGCTCTTCTTATCCATGGGTTTTAGAATAATTTTAGAGAACTATATACTCAAAGAATCCAATCCTCACAGCCTTATTAAATGACAGACAAAACATGGTAATTTATCCTCAAGGTACAAGTCTGTCTTCTCCTTAGAACTTTTGTAGCACCTCCTCTTCCCTCTTGTCTAATGGCATTTTATTACAAGACCCATCTGGGTAGAGAGTTTATAATACAGCTTGGATGGAACTGAATATGAATGATAGCTCGGTCTTAACCCTACCTGGTACTGTACAGGTGTCTGACGTCGGTGTCTGTTGCAGTACGTAAAGGGGTGAGTGATAATCGAGTGTTAACCTGTGGTGACTATTATGACCTGCCTCAGTCATACCCAAATTTGGTCAAATTATGTATTTTCGAGTCCCAAATTCAGTACACAGAAAAAATTTTCATCTGTAATTCACTTTAAAATGGCTGGCAAGCTAAAAAGTGAGAGTTTTGTGGTGCTGAGAAGAAAAAGAGACATTCATTTTCGATTTTCATTGTGTTATTTAAGCATTTCCGACTTACGACCTGGATGTCGGTCCCTAACCCCGTCGTAAATCGGGGAGTACTTGTAGTTTGTAATGCAGTGTGAAAGGGGCGACTGTAGACTGAGGTGACTATGGCCAGGTTATCGTACCTCACATTTTTTGGTTTTCATTTCTTATTTCTTCTTCCTGTGTCAAAAATAATTTACCTATTATTCTATACATTTTAACGAGTTTGCTCCAATACTGTACAGTACTTATATACAGTGGTCCCTCGGTTAACGAATGCCTCGGTTAACGAAATTTCGGTTAACGAATTACCTTCCATAAGGATATTCAATTCGGTTAACAAACAAAAATTTGGTTAACGAAATTCTTACAATGCTTGCTCACCAGCTGGTAGATTAGTTCGCCAATACAGTAATTGGTTATAGGGCTTATATTCGTTCCCATTTGAGTAAATATCAAGAAGGTTGTGCTATTAAATATTTTTCCAAGTTTTATATTAAAATTATTAGTCATTTTAACACTTATTTAACATAATTGCAGTACAGGGAATTAGTTTTTGGTGCGCCCTCAGCCACTTCACTCACCCACCAAGGCGTCAGTTTGTGTCTCTGTTCAGTGGAGGTAACATCTTGCTTGTGGCTCTCTTGAACATAAACTATTTTTATGTTTTTACAGTACAATTATTGGTCATTCTAAAATTCATTTTACATATTGACAATATATAGCTCAGTGCAGTGTTGATTTAAAGAAAATAAGAATTACACCAAGTGAACTTAAAATTTTATTGGTGAAATGATGACATCAATCATGGGGCGATTTCTCTTCCGTCCCCACTTCCTTCTCTTCTCCCTTCTCTTCCACCCCCCGCTTCTAATTCCCATCATCATCATCAACCAAGAGCCTTCTACATACACACCTCAAAGTAAGTGTACTTTACTGCATTTTTTTTTTACTTTGTATGTACTTTTCAGTGAGCTGGAACCAATTACCCCAAATCCCACTGTATAGGACTTATGTTTAGGTATTATGCATATTGTATAAATTTATACAAACTGACATCAGGATTGTTGACTCTGATCTTATAACGATTTGATTTGATGTAAGTAAATAACAGTGACACAGACATTGCAAGGAAAATTGTAAAAATTATCAAGAACATTATAAGATAATTTAGCTAATATTATCAGTGCCGGATTAACCATGAGGCACTTGAGGCACTGGCCTCAGGCCCCCCGACTCTAAGGGGCCCCCAAATCCAAACATTCTCGAAGTTGAAGCGTATAAAACATGAACTTGGTTCAACGATGTCCTAGCAACGTCTCAATTTTCTGTCTCTTATGAACATTAAATGTGTTATTTTGCAGAAGCTTAATATTGATGAAATCATTGATAAATTTGGGTATATTTTGTTCTTGTTATTTATACATACCTTGAGGGTAGGGGGCCCCAAGTTGATCTGTGCCTCAGGCCCCTATTAAGCTTAATCCGGCCCTGAATATTATGCTTCACTATACTTGTAAATGTTTTATCGAGAAAGTGTATAGCTACTGTAGAGCAGTGAATTTTAGGCTTGGGTGACCGATATTACCCAAATATTGTACAGTAAACTTATTTGTTTCTTTACTTCCTCTTTCATTAGTCAGTGACATATGTTAATTTCTTTACATTCTGACGAATTTACAACAATAGTTATATAAACAGTTACTGTTGCCTGGTTCTCATATTTTATATACGTCAAACAATACAACTATAATTACCTTGGGTTCTGTGAATGATATATCATGAAAGGTTTTACCTTGAAACCAGCTACATTCCCCCCCAACAGAAGTGTGATTCGGTCCTTGAATGCCTTGAATCCCAGCATGGTTTTCGCCTCTTTGTGGATGTATGTCCATTCAGGCATGCGCTTCCATAATAAGCCAGTTTCATCCACATTAAATATTTGCTCAGGCAAATAATTTCCCTCCACGATGACACGATCTAGCTCCTCCTTAAAGGCTTCAGCAGCACCCACACCAGCACTTTCTGCCTCTCCACTCACCTTTACACTGTGCAAACTGTAACGTTTCTTAAACCTTTGGATCCACCCATGACTTTCTGTGAAGTTTTGGTCTCTCTCATCTCCTGCCTGCTCTTTCAGGCTTTCGAAAAGGCTTCTTGCCTTAGCCTGTAGGGTTAGAAGACTTAAGGGTACACGCTTTTGCAGCTGATCTTCCATCCACATCACAAGTAATTTTTCCATCGCATGAAGAGGACCTTGTCTTTTTTTTTGTTTTTATTGTTCCCTTTATAGGTGCTGATCCTTTCACTACCTCACGAATTCGTTCCTTGTCCTTCAAAATTGTTGATATCGTCGAGTGAGAGAAGCCAAAATCGCGTGAAATGGTTGCTACCGTTTTTCCATTTTCATATTGCAATATTATTTTAATTTTCATCTAAAAAGTAATTGACTGTCTCTTTTTCTTCTCAGCACCACAAGAACTCTCACTTTTACGCTTGCCAGCCATTTTAAAGGGGGTTATAAACGAAAATTTTGTCAGTACAGTAGGTAGTAGGCAGCTACCAAACAGGGAGGTACTACTACCTGGGAAGATATTGGAAGCATAATGTGTTGTCTAATGGTAGACCCTGCAGTCATATGGCATCACGAAAATTGTGACCAAGTCCCAGGTTGCTGATCTGTCTTTCTGTTTCATTTACACACAATAGCAGGGTCTCAATTGTTTCTCTTACCATTGACAACACAACATACATATATCGTTTCTCACTTTTGATCTTTTTTATCATTTTTGTATTTATAGTTCTTTATTATTAAAATTATAATTATTATTACAGTTACTGTATTATTATCATCATTATTTCATTATTTTATTTTTGTTTTTTTATCATAAATTTTATTTATTATGAATTATTATGACTAGTATAAATTGTTGTTGTTGTCGTCGTCGTCGTCGTCGTCGTCGTCGTCGTCGTCTCCTCTGTGGGACACCACTATTGGTAGAGAAAGAGCGAGAGATTGATCCCTCGACAACAACTGCCATGGTTCGGTTCTCAAGGAAGCTAGAAATTAGAGAATAAAGTGGGGGAGAGAAACCATAAGAGGGAAGTTTAGAAAGCAAAGACTTGTGCCATACCCTGTCAAATGCTTTGGAGATGTCGAGGGCCACGACGAAAGTTTCCCCATAATCCCTAAGAGAGGATGACCAAAGATGGGTGCAGTAGGAGAGCAGATCACCAGTAGATCTCGCCTGGCGAAAGCCAGACTCGTGATCCGACAAAAGAGAAAGGCGTTCAAGGTGACGGAGAAAATGAGAGTTGAAGATAGTTTTGAAAATCTTAAGCGAGGGATGAAGTTAGGGCAATGGGGCGATAGTCACCCTTCTTGGGTTTTGAGGCAAAGGCGAAAGAGGCGAGCAAGCACAGGGGCCAGAACTTCAGCACACTCCCTCAGAACACGAAGGGGTATTCCGTCCGGTCCATGTGCCTTACTCACATCCAAACTGGATAACACACCAGCATCCCTATAAATGGAGATTATAGGAAAGTCCATAGTTCAGTAGGAGGAGCAGGATTAGGAGGGATAGAGTTGGAATCATCTAAGGTGGAGTTAGAGGACAAAAAGGTGCCAAAGAGATTGGCTTTGTCAGGGGGAGAGTTGGCTATAGAGTTATCAGGTTGGAAGAGAGGAGGAAAAGAAGTAGTGCAGAAGTTATTACAGATGTTTTTGGTTAAAGATCAGAAGGATTTACTAGAAGAAGAGTTATTCAGGACAGCGGTCTTTCTATTTATAAAATTCTGCTTTGGCCCTATGAAGATTAGCCTTACAACGATTCCTAGAAGTAATGAAAGAGGATTGGGTAATAGGAGAACGTGATAGTTTCATAGCTTGATATGCCCTATCTCTCTCCCTACAGGCAAGAGAACAGGAGCGATCAAACCATGATTGTAAAGTGAAAGTTTTAGTAGAAGATGGGATAAATGCACTCATACCACCTTGTATGTATGTGAATTATATTAAGATACTGTACTGTACAAAACTACATTTGAATACATAGCCGTGAAGGGGAGGAGGTGGTGGAGGTGGAGGGACGAGAGGACAACTCACCCATATTATTTAGGTTCACTTGGTGTCGGGTTAGTAAAACATAATAAAAAAAGAATTAAGTTTCCCCCC